AAGACTGATAAATTCATAATTAATGGCATGGCTGGTTCAGTCGACAGAAATACGTGACACACAGGCCTATAATAACTGCTGAAATGTTTGCGGGGCAAATCTCAGGTCAGTCTGAGCGCTCGTGTAGCCTACTCGCAGCCGTACACCTGCAGGCGCCACAAGCGACCGTTGCAAATCATTTTAACTTTGTGTCAGTACGTCATAAATAGAACAAGGCATCAGTTTAATGTCGCATCGCATCCAGTGTACACAGTGTCACTGGTTATAATGGTTTCTACTAGGGTTGTGACGGTGAGGAAATTTTCCCACCGATTAATCGGCGTGTGACAACACCGGTAATACCGGTATCACCGCGGGGGCGGGGCATTCCCTCTTTTCCTCGCTTTCCTTCACTTTTAAATAGCTTGTAAAAGCGGCGTGCGCATTTTACTTTCACTTTAAAATAGCGGCAATTCGGAGTAAAGCAATTGTTCGTTTTTAGTTCGTTTGAATTTTCCTCGCTTTCCTTCGCTTTTAAATAGCTTAAAAGCGTCGTGCGCATTTTACTTTCACTTTAGAATTAGCGGCAGTTTGGCGTCAATTGCTTGAATGCAACCACAAAAAACGTCAAACTCACTTTAGCCTATATATATAACTTTTATTAACAAAACAAATAAAAATACACCATGCTATAGGGCAGGCTATGCCTAATATAAAATAACAAATAACTTCCATAAAGTTTAATATACAAACTAAAAAAAAAATCACAATATTGGTTAAAAAAAATCGCAATTTGATTATTTTCCAAAATCGTTCAGCCCTAGAATGCGGTTGCCACGATTACTGGGTTACTGTGCTAAAAAAAATAAGGTGTGCATAGAGGGTTGGTATTCAAGCCCAAATACACTCCAGTCACACTCCATTGGCTTGTCTCAGAAAATGACCTTAAAGGATTAGTTCACTTCCAGAATAAAAATGTCCTGATTATTTACTCACCCCCATGTCATCCAAGATGTTCATGTCTGTCTTTCTTCAGTCGCAAAGAAATTAAGGTTTTTGAGAAACATTCCAAGACTATTCTCCATATAATGGACTTCAATGGGACCCAAGGGGTTGAAGGTAAAATTGTAGTTTCAATGTAGCTTCAGAGGGCTCTACACTAATTTTCAAAAAAAAAAAAAAAAAAAAAGAGTAAATGCCTTTTAACTACAAATGCATTAGTTCTGCAATGCGCGTCCGTGACTTCACGCATTACGTAACCACGTGCGGTTAGCTCTTCGTCTGTGTACTCCGGTTCAAAAAGTTAGGGTAGGGAGAAAAACTAAATTTTCTCCTCCAACTTCAAAATCGTCCGACATCGTTGTAAATGACATTTGACTTTCTTTGCAAGTTCGCTTTGTAAACACTGGGTTGGTACTTCCGCCTAATGACTGATTGTTTCGCTAGGCAAGACCCTTATTCCTCAGCTGGGATTGTGTAGAGCCCTTTGAAGCTGCACTGAAACTGCAATTTGGACCTTCAGCCCGTTGGCCACCATTGAAATCCATTATTTGGAGAAAAATCCTGGAACGTTTTCCTCAAAAACCTTAATTTCTTTTTAACTGAAGAAAGAAAGACATGAACATTTTGGATGACATGAGGGTGAATAAATTATCAGGAAGTTTTTATTCTGGAAATGAGCTAATCCTTTAATGACATTCTTTTTAGAGGCTTGTTGTATGAGTATTTTGAGTAAGTTCTATGTAAGTAATTGTTTACATTAATATTAATTCTAACCACATTTATAATCATGCATTTTAAATGCTTGTATTAAATTTACGTTTATGAATTTAGAAGGTGCTTTTATCCAAAGCGACTTGCAGTAGAGGAACATAAAGCAATTCGTTGCGGAGCAATATTCATAGTAAACGATGTCAGGTTTATTCGAAAGCTAGATTAGGAAAGGAGCTAAAGCAGTGCGGAAAAAATTATTCTCTGCAAGTGCAGTGGTTTAGGGTTGTTAAAGTTGATAACATTAATACCCACTGGATCCTTGCACGCTCATAAATATTTGATTTAGAAACGTGCTTTCTGTCAAGGTTTGTTGATAGAAAAACATATGCATATCACACTGACATTCATTTAGTTCTCATTTTGAGTTTTTTTTTTATCCCTCAGGTCCGTGGAGGATCCAGGGTTTTGGCCCGGCCTGTTTCAGTGGTGTTCAGCAGACCTGAGGCAAGAACTGAACAGGTAAGATAAATAAAGTGCCTTCCATATGAATTCCTCAGAGTAACTTGCAGCTTCTCTTGCACATACTTAAATTTCTTGCCCTCCTTTTCAGGCTGCTCTGTTGCCAGTCAGTGAAGCGACCCTTCTTAATGTAACCCGGGGCTTCCAGACCAGCGCTGTATCCAGAGATATCGACACAGCGGCCAAGTTCATTGGTGCTGGTGCTGCCACGGTGGGTGTGGCCGGATCAGGAGCTGGAATCGGGACGGTGTTCGGCAGCCTCATTATTGGCTATGCCAGGTAATTAGCCTCTTAAACTTGGTTTATTTGTTGTACATGTAGCTTGTGCCTAAGTCACTTTTTCTCCATTTACAGGAATCCCTCCCTGAAACAGCAGCTCTTTTCCTACGCCATTTTGGGCTTCGCTTTGTCTGAGGCCATGGGTCTGTTCTGTCTGATGGTGGCATTCCTCATCCTGTTCGCCATGTAATTTGGATGTCTTCTCTTCTCTCGCGGTTCGACTCCCTTGATCTGGAGATTGAAACTGTGACACGCAGCTTAGGCCGTGGCACCGCCATTCCAACAAAACTACAAGAAACTCTCCCTTTTTATGTTCCCCTGTACCGTTTTTCTCTATCTGAAAGTTTTATGCAAGAACTCACTTCTCATGAGATCATCTGAATAAATGGTTGAAATCAGTTTGCTGTTGCTCGTTTTTTTCTGTTTTGAGGATGCAGTGGAAAGGTAGACTGTCCTGGTGTGTTTTTAAAGCTAATATTGGATTGGGGGAATATTTATCAAATAATTGAATTGAATTTAACTTTTATTCAAAACCTCTCCATGCTGTCTCCAATAGGTTGTCCAAAAGTCACTCAGGCTAAATGTCTCAAGACTCCTTGTAGTGATTTGTGTTGCATGCTAACATTTCAATATACCCAGTATAAATTTGCTCAAGTTCTTGCTAATTGGTGTTCATCTAGTTTGTTCATTATTAGTTTTAGTTAAAGGGATAGTTCACCCAAAAATGAAAATTATCATTTAAATGTCCATCTTTTTTTGTGTGTGTGAACTATTCTTTTAATATATCCAAATTAGTTTAATAAAGTATTTAGCTATGCAAAGATATGTGATCAATCATTGAGTAAAGATGACAACTCTGTTTTTGAAGAATAAAATGGTACTAAAAGGTTCATACAAGGTGCATTGTTTGTTCATCTTGCAGAGCAATGTAACAAAGGTTACACATTTTTCCCCGGTCTCAGTTTCACCAAAAAATAGCTTTAACCGGACTCGGCTGGGTTGTTGGTTTAATCTGATTTTCAGTTTCAAGCTTCACTTATTAAAAATGTATGTAATATTTACTTAAATTAGAAGTGTGCTTATTTCAAGTAATATACATTGTTACTACTATGCTATAATTTGTTGTACCACTGTAAAACTCTAGTAACTATCATTGCCATAAGAAGCTTCTCAAACCTCCTTACATTGTTTGAAGGAGATCCCATGTTTTGTTTCTAGACGAACAATTGTAGAAATGTCGGTAGCCATGGTTACCTGCCCAATATTTTGTGGGTTCTCAGTATTGAAGTAATGCGCAAACTCCCTTTTTGTTAACGCTGGGAAACAAGAACGGACTTCATTAAAAATACCTGAGCCTAATGATTTCGTCGATTCGGTTACATTAACGGTTCTTGAACGTGCATCAGTGACCGCTGACCGAATACTGGTCCTTTTAAGTGAATCGAAAACATGCATGTAGTCTGATTCCCTAACAAATGACTCTTATGAATCGATTCATTTTAGTGAATCAAAAATAGAGCGCGACCAATGTAATCCGATTCCCTAACTGATTTTAGTGGATAAAAAAACGATTCCCGGTTATTTTTAATGAATCAAAACGCTTACGAATTAATACGACTCACTGAACCTCAGGTTCAAATGAACCAAGAATGGTTATAATATAGGACTGTTTTATATAACAAGTGACGTGTAGTTAAAAAACCCATTATTTGGAGTTGTGTTATAACCAGAAAATGTAATATAATACTGAACGAATCGTTTGAATCCATTACGACACCCGGTTAGCCTGAATCTCCTCCAGGAGTGCACCGCTAGATGGCACTATTTTCTTCTAAACGAGGAGGAAGTGAGGAGAAATGAAACAACATTGATAAACAGGCCAGGCCGAACCAGGAGAAACTACGTTCGCGTGCGTTTAGACTCAGTTTTCATTGACGTGAACGTTAAATGCTTCTCTAAGCTCAGCTACTTCGGATAAAACGTTAAAAATCGGCGCTGCTTTCGACGCAGGTTGTTATAGTTGAGGTCGGAAGAGGGGAAAAGGGAGAATATGTAACGGTAACTTAGGAGTCATTTCTCTTTTCCTGCCCTCCTCCACTTGCCTCCCGAGCGAGGAGAAACAGTAACTGCATTAAAGACCGATTGATCTGACAGCTGTTCAGACAGTTTGCGGCTTCTTCGGTCTCAACGACGATGGCGGATAGCGCTGGGGAGGGGGCCAACGGCTCTGTGGGCACGGCGCAGGACCACGGAGCGCAGTTGTCCTCGAGTTTGGGTAATTCCGTTTTGGGGCACTCATCAGCCTCGACGCCTCCGGCAGTGGCTGTGGTCGCTCCCATGATCGCGCACACCATCACCCATGCGGTTCCCGTGGTGGCCGTTCCTCCTTCCCTGCCGCCCGGTATCGGATCAGGAGTCCCGGCCGGAGCGGGCCTCCTGTCCCAAATTCACGCCACCTCCTGGGATCCCACGTTAAGCACCGACTGGGACAACGAGAAGGCGTCTCCGCAGTGTATTCTTCGGATAAAAAGGTAATATTGGACTGTCATATAGGCCTGTATTGGGAAATGTAAGACAACTTTTTAAGTTAATCTGCGTGATATTTGCATGGTTTCTTTACTTTACTTTACTTTACTTCCCAGTCCAAACATATGGTGAAGGAAGTAGGCTATGTGTGTCAGTGTCAGAAGGCTGAATAAACATAAACATCCGATTTATGCTAACCCCCCCCCCCCCCCCCCCCCCCCCCCCCAAAGCCGTAAACCTAGGGGAAACACTGTAATGTATATTGCTGCTGCCACACATGGGATTTATTTCCCAGATGTTTACCTTCACAGACATAACTGACTGTTTTTCCTTCTTTTATGAAGCCCCTCCCTCAGAAATAGGCGATGGGCTCTGATTGGTTAGCTAGCCCAGTGTGTTGTGATTGGCTAAACCGCCTCTATTTGCCGTCTAATCGTCCCGCCCCTCACCTCAGCGGCATGTGCTCCGTTGTATTGTAAACAACGCCGTCTTAAACGGGTCATATGATGTTGCTAAAAAGAACATTATTTTGTGTATTTGGTGTAATGAAATGTGTTTATGCGGTTTAAGGTTAAAAAAACACATTATTTTCCATATAATGTACAATTGTTTCTCCTCTATGCCCCGCCTTTCTGAAACGCGTCGATTTTTACAAAGCTCATCGTTCTAAAAAGCGAGGTGTGCTCTGATTGGCCAGCTATCCAGTGCGTTGTGATTGGCCGATTGCCTCAAGCGTGTGACGGAATTGTTACTGCCCTTAACATGCTGTGGTGCCGTCTCCCAGCAGGACGAGACTCACCGCTTGTCCAAATACCCACACTTGCGGTTTTTGCACTTGACCACTTGACTACTTATATGACGTATGTCCTGTATTTGGCCCAAGTGTTCAAGTGAGGATGAAGACCACAAGTGTGTGTAGAACTTTTCATTACCGTATGGGACACACTTATAGTTAGGGATGGGTATCGTTAAGGTTTTAACGGTATTACTAACAAAGAGAAAGGAAAAATTGAAATCGCATCATATGACCCCTTTAACTATTATTACATTCATACTAAGTTTTCATTCTGATTTATTTTATTTTAGGTATGTATTTCTTTCTTGAGAACTGATGCCTGGTGCATAAAAATGTTAAATCAAATTTATATGAATATTTATACATATTATTTTCTGTTGAAGGCACTATGTAATTTTGTAGTTTAGTTGGTACCTTTCTTTAGAAACCCAACAAATTATGGCATTTATCAGTAGAACAGAGAACCTTTTAAAGTCGAAAAGTTTATTGAATATCGGTAAAATATTGCTCAAACCAATAACTAGTCAGTCTCTAACTTGGCATGCTGAAACACTTTCCAGCCAATTGTTGCAAGCAGATTAATCTGTCATAGGCGACTGTATTTATAAGACACTACATTGCCACTCTCAGGAATTGTCACTTGGCAGTGACTTTGGCCTGGGCATGAAGTGATAAACGTCCCTGGAGGACTAATAATGGAGATGTGGACAAGAGACAAAAGCACTCGGTTACAATGAGTCCGTTATGTTTGTGTGTAGTTTGTCTCTTTAATCCAGGCATTCAGTGATCTGATGATTTTCTTGGCAGAGTGTGCATATGACACTTGTTTCCTCGTGTTTTGACAAAAATGGTGCATAATCCGACTGATCTTTCTTCATATTAGTGAAGTCTCTGTGTTTTTATGATTCTTTGCTCACACCCCTTTCTTCTTTCCTCCATTTAGAGACATTATGTCCATTTATAAAGAACCTCCTCCAGGTATGTTTGTGGTTCCCGACCCTCATGACATGACCAAGGTAAGCATCAGCACACTTCTCCCTTACAATTATGCTGATTATTTCAAAACCCCTCGTTCTGTTCTCTGCTCTCTCGATCCTTGCTTCTATTGTTATATTCTTACTAAACAGTGAAGGCATTAATTGCATGTGCACAGTTACAGTATTAGGTTTCATGAACTAACAATGAACAGTAGGCTACTTTTACAGCATTTATCATTCTAGATTAATGTTAATTTCAACATACACACTACCAAAGTTCGGGGTCAGTACGATTTTTTTATTGTTTTGAAAGAAATTCATACTTTTATTCAGCAAGGATGCATTAAATTGATCAAAAGTGACAGTGAAGATTTTTACATTGTTACAAAAAAATTATATTTCAAATAAATGCAGTTCTCTTGAACTTTCAATTCATCAAAGGATTCTGAAAAAGGTTATATTTCTTAAGCACCAAATCAGGATATTAGAATGATTTCTGAAGGATCATGTGACACTGAAAACTGGAGTAATGATGCTGAAAATTCAGTTTTGCCATTGCAGGAATAATTTCACAGTATATGAAACTAGAAAACAGTTATTTTTAAATTGTAATAATATTTTACAATATTACTGTTTTTACTGTATGTTTGATCAAATAAATGCAGCCTTGGTGAGCATAAGAGGCTTCTTTTAAAAATATTAAAATATTGAACTGAACCCAAAACTTATAAACGGTAGTGTAATAATTTGTTTGCATTTTGTATTGATGTATTTTTAACATTCTATGTACAAGCGTGAATTAAGCATGAACAGTGGCATATAATGGTATAAAAATTAGCATTAACGTAAATTAACAATCTGTAAAAGTAATGGAAAATGTTGTAAAAAGTTGTGGAAATTGCTGTAGTGAAAGAATGTCTCTGGTTATTCTCTCTATAGTGGCTTCGAATAAACCCATTTTCTTCTCGTGTCTCCACAGATTCACGCCCTCATCACCGGTCCCTTCGACACACCATATGAGGGAGGCTTCTTCCTCTTCCTGTTCCGCTGTCCTCCTGACTATCCCATCCACCCTCCACGTGTCAAACTTATCACTACCGGGCACAATACTGTTCGTTTCAACCCCAACTTCTACCGCAACGGCAAAGTTTGCCTCAGCATCCTCGGGTAAGGATGATTTATTTTTGTGATTGGATTCCCACATATATTTACTTGGCCACTTTTAGTTTCAAAATTAAGGCCTGTTTACACCAAGGACAATAACTATAAAGTTTTAACATTCATTCTAATTCTAGTCCACACCACATCTATAACAACACATGATCAATATCATTGAAATCACTTTCAGAGTATTTTTTTTTTTGCAAATGAACAATAATAATATAGTTACAGTTAGCATTATTGTCCTTGTTCTGAACAGGCCTTTATTTAGATCCTGATTTTGATGGCTGTTTCTTTCCACAGCACTTGGACTGGTCCAGCATGGAGTCCTGCCCAGAGCATCTCCTCCGTTCTCATATCCATACAGTCCCTAATGACAGAGAACCCTTACCATAATGAGCCAGGCTTTGAGCAGGTACTACAGCTCCCACAATGCATTCTTAGTATAGAAGGCCTTTATGAGGTCCTCCTGTAATCTGTTTTTTATTTTGTTCGCAGTAAATGCTATAGTTTATTCTGCACTGTCATCTGTTTGATAGGAAAGGCATCCAGGTGACAGCAAAAACTATAATGAGTGTATCCGCCACGAGACCATGCGAGTTGCAGTGTGCGATATGCTAGAGGGCAGAGTGTCGTGTCCCGAGGCCTTGCGGTGAGTGATTATCCCTCATTTTGCATAATCATGGTTATTTTTAAAGGGCTTGTAGGCCGCATTAAACCTTTAAAAGTGTTACTATAAGTGATGCACCGAAATTTTGGCAACCAATCATTTACGGCCGAAACTGCCCTTTTCAGTTTCTGTGTTTTGACTGTGTCAGTGTCTATTTTGTGCTCACGACGTGGATAAACTATCAACAGGTGTGGATGCTAGTGCTGGAATAACAAATTCTGTTCATTTTATCATGAAATACAAAAAAAATATACTGATTTGTCACTCTTTAATGTAGAGTGAGAGATCTCAGTTTAAGCGGCATATGAATCATCTCTTTGCTTTTACTAGCACAAAATAAACATTAATGAACGTCAGATGGTACGTTGAAGAAAACGGTAATTTACTGAAATGTATTTTGTCTCATGTAATCACTCAATGAGTGTTTTGACAGCAAAAATATATCAGTAAAAAAACTGCTTACAACATTACATTTACCTCAGGAAAGACATTCAACGTCCATAAACTGGTTAGTCAGCAAGAAAAAAATAACTCTAGAGAGGAGCATTTTAATAAATAAATGCACTGGTCCTTGGGTGCTGAGTCTTGGAGCTGTTCTGATACGTCACAGTCTGTCTGTGATGAGCTCTGTGGGCAGGGCTCAGCCGTGATGGTGTCCATGAGCAGTGCTTGTTGTGGCTGCGTGGTGTTATCAGTGTCCTTGTTGGATGTGTCAACCACATGATGACTCGGAAGCTGATATGAAGTCCTGTCGTCACTCATACTCTGTTCAGGTGTGTGTGCGCCATTCAGGTTGAGTAGTTTGGCACACAATACTAAAGGATGACGGAGGGAGAAGTAGATCTTGTCCTTTAGCACTCTTGCACCAAGTTTGTTTGGGTGGAGGCCATCCAGTTTAAACAGTTGTCTATGGCCCCAGAAAAGATTGAAGTTGTCTATGAAATTGACTCCTTTTAAGCTGCAGATTCTTTGTAGCCATGTGTTCAGCCCAAGCAAACGTGAAAACATATTAGTTCCTCCTTGCTGGGAGTGGTCCACTGATGAACAACTGAACTTTGAGTCTTCGAAGTGTTTCAAAGAGTTCAATGAAGTCCTTCTTAAGGAGTTCTGACTGCTCTTTCCGAATATCATTCTTCCCCACATGGATGATGATTCGATTCGCAGTCTTGTGCTTCATTAGAATTTTCCGAAGTTCCTTGTTTACATCAGAAACGGTTGCTTGAGGAAGGCAATATGTTGTTGTATTTTTGCTACTGATGTTTCTGATAATAGAATCACCCACTATCAGAGTCCTGGGCTCGGCTGCGCTCTGAGCTGAAAGCCGCTGTCTGCTCGACCTTGAGCGTCTGTTAGTAGCGATGTTAGCTGCTGGCTGATCCGATCCATGTTTAATCACATTTGGGGATTCCTCACCCGCATTCATTAATGCTTCAAATCTGTTTTCAAGATGTATAGGGGGTGGTAGAATACCAGTGTTCACAAGCCTTGTCATAGCCATATCTGGGGTAGAGGATGCTACGGAAGCAATACGAGAAACTCGTGACAATCTGATGTCTCGAGTGCCTTTGGGTCTCGCTCCCTGTTTGTGCCATCGATTAGTGTGACAATCAGTTTCGGCTTGTTCCTCTACACTTGGTATAAACTGTTGAGATTGACTAGGTTCATGGGACTCACCGGCTGTATGCTGAGGGGGTCCGTGACGACGGATTGCTGAGTGTTCTGCCTGTTTTGGAAGTCCAGCAAGTAACTTTGTTTCAAGAACCGCAATCCTTTGTAGAAGTTTGCAGCAGTTCATGCAGCAAGTAGATTCAACAGGAGGCATTTTCTTTCTCTTCTGTTTGAATGTAGACAGCTGTGTTTTCCAGTCTCCGGAATGTAAGCTGCTGGCAGTGGGAGGCAAAGTCTTCTTTTTCGTGGTATTATTCCAGTCCCAAAGAGTTTTTAGTTTTAGTGTTTGTGCCAAAAATGTGTTGTTTGAGCACTGTGCTAATCTGCTGAAGTAAAAATCTTAGAAAAATCCAAGAAAAGTACAGAAATAGGAAGCGGAGCGCAGAGCAGTAAGCAAGAACGTCCGAACGGTAGCGAAGCCGGAAGCTATATGTATATTACATATAGTATTACATATTCATTATATCACATATATCATATATTCATATACATGTATTACATATTCATTATATTTTTAGTTAACCTGTTGTCTTCATTTTTTATGTATTTTTTAATAAATCTGTCATGAAAACAAGTTTGTTTATATGTTTAATGTTAATGTTTATATTTCAGCAAAAAAGAAAATAGAAACAAAATTCTGGTATTAAAAAGTTGACATAAAAACTCCCTTATCTACAATTTAAATGTTTGTACAACATTTTTATTTGAGTGTTTATTATAAAATTAATTTGATTAATTTATTGATTTTTAAATAATGTTTATTTTCGGTTTCAGTGTTTCTGTAAAGAAGTTCATCGCTAATTACTATTTCCTGAACACCCTTATAAGAGCATTGTTTTTCTGTTTCTAGGAGCGTGATGGAGAAATCCTTCCTGGAGTACTATGATTTCTATGAGGGGGTCTGCAAAGAACGTCTGCATCTCCAAGGGCAGAACATGCAGGTAATGACTGTTTGCAAATGTGCTTTGCTACAAGTCACATTGCGTCTTATGATATGTCATTTCGATTGTCATCAGAACATTAGAAATATAACCTTATGCAAACGTTTAGCATTGTAGCATTACAAACATTCCTATTCGCTGCGGTGAGTCATTCACGTCAGCATTCACAGAAGACCAGCAGGAACAAAGAATCTAACATACTACCACACCTCCTCGTAAAGAGTTTAGCTGAATCACTCAGCGCAGCTTCTATTCGCCAGCAGCCATTTCTGTGGGATTTCCAGAGTTGTTATTGTCCTCAAGTCACGCTATGAATCAGCATTCAGGCATTTTGTAGTCGTGTCGCACATAGTTAAGTGGAACTGTTGTTCAAACTGTGATTGAATTTGATTGTATTTGTGTGATTTTTTTTTTCTTCTTCTTTCTTTATCTATAGTGTTATGATTTTGTATTGTAACTATTGATATACTATTGATTATAGAGAGGGTTTAAAGAATTATCTTATGCTCTAATGCCTTTTTTTCACCCAGACTGCACTTATTTAAAAATGCAGTAAAAACTGAAATATTATTACAAATTAAAACAACCATTTTCTATTTAAATATATTAAAATGTAATTTATTCCTGTGAAGACAAAGCTGAATTTTCCATAGACATTACTCCAGTCTTCAGTGTCACATGGTCCTTTAGAAAATCAATCTAATATGCTGATTTGGTGCCCAAGAAACATTTCTTATTATTACCAATGTCAAAAACAGTTATTTTTGTGAAAACGGGTACATTTTTTCAGGATTCTTTGAATAAAAAAGTTCAAAAGAACAGCTTTTATTTGACATAGCTCAGTGGGTTGCACTGTCGCCTCATAGCAAGAAGGTCACTGGTTCAAGGACACCTTTCTGTTTGGAGTTTGCATGTTCATGTTGCATGTGTCTGCATGGTGCTCCGGTTTCCCCCACAATTCAAAGACATGCAGTATAGGTGAATTGGATGAAGTAAATTGGCCGTGTGTGTGTGTGTGTGTGTGTGTACCTGTTTTTCTATTCTGGTGGGGACTTAAACCTGAATACACACAGACTCATGGGGACTCGTGTCACGGTGGGGACCTAAATTGAGGTCCCCACGGGTAAACAAGCTAATAAATCACACAGAATTAAGTTTTTTGAAAATCTAAAAATGCAGAAAGTTTCCTTTTAGGGGTAGGGTTGGTGTAGGGCAATAGAAAATACGGTCTGTACAGTAGAAAAACATTACGCCTATGGAGAGTCCCCACAAGGATAGCAAACCAGACGTGTGTGTGTGTGTGTGTGTCAGAGAATGGGTGAGTGTGTCCCATCACTGGGGTTGCATGAGTGTGCACTCTCAGTGCTGGGTTGCAGCAGGAAGGGCATCCGGCGTAAAACGTGCCAAATCGGCTGTGCAGATCACTCTGCTGTGGCGACCCCTGATAAAGGGAGAAAGCCAAAAGAGAGAGAGATTCTTGCTGATTTAAAGTATTTGTTTCTTTCAAAGGAAAAAAATTACTGACCCCAAACCTTTGAATGGTAGCATATATATTATAATATAATAATAAATAGGACCGTTTTCTGTAATCCAAAAATATTTTTAATCTGTTTTGGTACTTGGTATCTTAGTTTGGTTTAATATCCTAAATGACTTCTTTTTTTTGTTCTCCATCAAATTTATATATTTTTCTTGCAGGATCCTTTTGGTGAGAAGAGAGGTCGTTTTGACTACCAGGGTCTGTTGACCCGTCTCAGAGCCATTCAGAGGCGATTGCGGGAAAAGTGCCCGCCCGAGGACAACGACAGCGACTCTGACTCGGACACCAGCTCTTCCGGCACCGATCCGGACAGTCAGGGCAGCTCACAGCCTTAGAGTGCCCTCTAGGGGTGCGAAGCAAGCAAGGTTAGATCGTGTCCCTTTACCTGCAGCTCCGGACTCCTCTCAAGTGATGCAAGGAGAGCTGAAAAACCTGGAGATTCTACTGACAGAGGACAGAGTTTCTCTTCCAATTGGTTAATATGTTTCCTCTCACTCCTTGTGTGCTGGCCAGTGACAGCCTTTTGTTTTGCTGTTTTTTTTGTTTGTTTTGTTTTTCCCTAATGAAGAAGAGTCAATGGAGGAATGAGGTATATAGATGTATGTTTGCGTGTGTACATTTGTACGTGATAAAGATGTATACGCCGGTCATCACAGCCTCAACCTTTTGAGTCCATGTTAGTTTGTCCCTTCCTGCATCCAGTGTAGAGCTAACAGAAAAAAGAAGTCCTACTAAGTCAAATAATTAATGATGATAATAAAATCACTCTTAAAACAAACCGGTTTACTTGCGCATTTCACACTTAGTTTGTGAGTTTCCTGGTCTTTTTGTTCCTCTCATGAAATTTTATTTCACTCATGAAGTCATTTAAAAATGAATATGATCACAAATTGATACAAATTCGTAATTAAATGCATACCACACTAAGAGCAAGACAAATGGATGCAACTTTAAAAAAATGTATATATAATTATTCATAGAGAACTTTTATTTTAATGTTCAATGTTCTTAAAATGCTATTGAACTGGTGAAAGTGTCCGCAGCCTGCCAAGCGCTTATGGGAACGGTTGCCTTTTGAGTGTCGTCGACTTGTTGGAAATACAGTTTTGTTTGGTGAGCTTCAATCGGTCTCTAATTGTGAAGCTGTTGAGTGTCAAATGAGACATCTGTTCTGTTGTTGTTCTGGGAATAACCTTGAATTTTCAACAAGACAGAAACTTCCTTTTACTCACTTTTCTTTGTTATTTCACTCATAATGCTTAGACGGCAATTCCAGTCCAGCCTCCACTCATAGTGTCCCTCGATACTGCTACAAATGTTGTTCTCTTTACCGGGGATACTGTGGTCACTGGTGTCCTCATATGCAACAGGACGAAGCTGCGTAATACAGACTGGGGGGAAAAGGAATGGGATAATATTCAACCGTTACTTGACACAGTGGTTCATGACTATCTATGCTCCTAAATGTTTTGCAAAAATCTATTGCAATACATCCCTTTAAATAGCAGGCATATCATTTTTCACAGCATGCTTTAGCAACAACCAAAATGGCAGCCTTTAGTATTTTGTATACATGTACAATTATAATGCATTTTATTCATGAACAAGCAGATTACATAGTCTTCTATTAAGTGAACCACAAAACAACTACTTTAACAAAGTTTTACATTCTCCGATGGGCCCAAGTACAGTTCTGAGGTTTTTGCATGTGCTAGTATTTTGATGCAGTTGATTTCTCTTAAGTGAGAGAATATATTCTGGTCTAGGACATCATATTTTGATAAGACTTGCTTGATTGACTCTTAAGTCTATGTTTCTCTTCTAGAACGCCTTGCAACAGGAAACAGTTCCCTGACTATGAGTTTGACTTTGTGATGTACTAATGCTTTTCCCTTGTTAGCAAAATGAGAATGAATTATGTAAATAATTAATGTATCGATCAATTGCAACTGTAAGAAGAAAGCATATATAAACCTGGTTCTGATTACTTCTGCCTCTCTTTGATTTCATTCGTTCCCTCAACTTACTTTTTTTTAATCATTCAGATTTGCAGGGCCAGTTGCAGTTATTGTCATATTGCACTCATAATGTGAATAATTTAAGTTCACATGTTTTTAGTTTTTTTTATCATTTATTTATTTCTATAAGCTAAGCCCCTATAGATAATTTTGTAACATCTGCCTTTTGTTGTTTCAAATGATAATCAAACAAGTTATTTTTTTTAGAACTGCATGTGTCTCTTATTTCCTGAATTTTTTGGTTAGATGTTTATGATTACATTTAGAAACTAAATGCATTCTATTCTCTAACTGATCCGTTTGGCTTTGTGGGATCATAGTAATTTTTTAAAAATTATGAATTATATATAAAAGATGCTTTGTATAACAGGGGTTATAAGTTACTCACTTTTATAACGTTTTATACAGTTCTCTAACTGATCCGTTTGGCTTTGTGGGATCATAGTAATTTTTAAAAAATTATGAATTATATATAAAAGATGCTTTGTATAACAGGGGTTATAAGTTACTCACTTTTATAACGTTTTATACAGTTTTGTCAAAACCATAACAACAAAACATGTATTCAGTCATACAGTTCATATATTTCGAAAACATTTTGGACTGTGACTGATTTGGACACTTTTAATTTAAATGTCTTGAGTTCAAATGTTTTATGCACATTAGATCAGCATAAAAAAAAGTTACATTTTAGTTTCAGGGCACAAAAATATTCCTCGTGTTATTTTCAACTCTCATTGATCTGACAATCGAACCATAATAAAAAATATACATTTATCCCTGAAATTAGCTCTTTTAATAATGGAATGCAGTCCCTGTGTGTATAACGCTTGTGGTAGGGACACTGCTCTGTCATTAGGGGGCAGTAGTGTGTAGCTTTTGTCGCCACAGACCTTGAGTCAACTATAATAATGGGGGAAAAAAACACGTTAATCTGTGAAAGACAGGGAATTCAACTGCCAAAGTTCTGAACTGTTGATGATTTTTAAATTGTTAGATGTGCTTATAGAGGCCATTTCTGTTTGTAAACCTTGTAGAATAGTTATATGAATGAGACCATTTAAAAATGTTGGCTACAAAACTGTCACTGGGGTGGTAATATGCGCTTTAAAAAAAGTACTAATACAGGTGCATCTCAATAAATTAGAATGTCGTGGAAAAAGTTTATTCATTTCAGTAATTCAACTCAAATTGTGAAACTCGTGTATTAAATAAATTCAATGCACACAGGACTTAAACTACTTCAGTCTGTGTGCATTGAATTTATTTAATACACAAGTTTCACAATTTGAGTTGAATTACTGAAATAAATGAACTTTTCCACGACATTCTAATTTATTGAGATGCACCTGTATGTACCTGTAGGGGTAAATAAGGTACAAAAATTTACTTTTTAGCTTTTGTAAAAAGTAACGGCTTTGTATCTTTTTTTTCTGAGAGTGTAAGGTCATTAACAATCTGTTTGACAAAGAATGAATCTGTCTTGGTGGAAATGATCAGCTCTAGAACTAAAACATCTTCATGTAACATCCCCAAACTAAATACTTAAAAACTCTTATCAATAACAGTGACCACAAAATTACTAACAAACACACTGATAATCACAACAGAACAAGGTAGATTACATTAGAGTTTACACTTTTTAATTTACTTAACCTTTTTTTTTTTTTGGTTACCTCCTTGGTCAAACCTGGGTAACACTTTATTTCGATAGTCCACTTTAGACATTCTATTAACAGTAAGTAACTTTGCAACTACATGTCAACTAGCATTTAGTAGATTATTAGTAGACTGTCTGCTTAATATCTTCTCTTTCTTTGTCATCTATTACTACTAACCCTAAACCTACCCTAACAGTCTACTCTGACAGTTAGTAGACATGTAGTTGCAAATTAATGAGAATTAGTTGACATGTAGTTGACATGTAGTTGACATGTAGTTACAAAGTTACTTATAGTTAGTAGAATGTCTAAAGTGGACTATCGAATAGTGTAACCCAAACCTGTTCTGGAATGTGAAACAAATTTTTTGAAACAAAGGTTTAGGTGAAGCAGTTAAATTCTTCTCAAACATGAATCTTAAAAGTGCACATAACTGAACACAGGAAAGGTTTTTGTAGTAATTGTGATAGAGCAAATCCGTGAAGAATTGTAGCTCTTCTTTGAAGTAACTGCCATTGTAGCCTACTTTAATTTTTTTATTATAGGCTAGGGATCACCTGGTAAATGTTAAAGGAATATTAGTTCTAAAATTATCTTTGAAAACAGAAACGCGTTGTCTTTACAAGATTCGGTTATGCATGGACCTTCAGCCTTTCGAATATTCATTCGAATTCAGTTTTAAATTTCAGTTTCTCTTCAAAAGGATAGCCACATATGCTTTCATTATGCCGTCACAACATTTATTCAGTATGATAGCTTTCGTCTACATACATCATAAATGCAGTGGAGCGTCTTTGTCTTTGATTTTGTCACATGACTGCCTTATGAATAGTGACTCGCTTGTGCAGGATTTCTTTCACGACCATAGCACAACTATGACAACATTTGAATTTCAGGGGAGGGGCGGTGAAAGTTGACGTTTCGTGACGTCACTATATCCACCCTGAGTAAATTTAAGCCATCAGAAATCTAACCAAACTAACCAACAGGCTACAAACGGCAAGACGGTGCAGCGTGAAACAAAAGTTGAACATGACAACGAAAGTCATCGCAATGGGAAAGGAACCGAAGAAACCACGACTTTATGACTAATTTAAGTCATCAACAGCTTAAGTTCCGTTTAGAAGGAAGTTATCAGAGGAAGACATGAGGAAAGGTTAGATGTTGAACAGAGGAAAGTCGTGTCTTTATGGTCTTTTTATGCTTCGTACCTAAGAATTGGGCATGTCATTTATTGTGAGATATGAAGGCGATTTCTAAACTACAAAATTGATATTGCTCTGAAAACGGCCCATTCTGAACAGTTTGAGTTTCCCTTAATTCATTAATTTATCAAAACGATTTATTTTCTGAGATGAATTATTCACTTTAAAACAGTCATTTGATTGCCTCAGATTCGATTTTACTGTGGTCTTTCGTTACAGCAAAATGTTTATTTAATTCATACAATTATTACAAAGAGCTAAACATCTTGGTTGTTGTAACAGATTGACTTTGCACCTTTAAACGTTTTAATAACTCGTTAAATACACAGGACGCAATTAAACGGTTTGATTGGTCTTGTTTACGGTCTAGGTTAGGATAATCTAATGTAACTTTTATTTAACTTGAAACGCATATAATTTTGTGTGCCATTTTAAGCTTTTGTAGTCTTTGTTCATTGTTTTCTTTACACGTGCTGAAAGTAAATAACAATCTTAGCAATGGGGGAGAAATTCAGAATCTAATGTGCAGCTATGCTGGAAAATTATATACGAATTAAGCACAACACGTTAACACAATATTTCGTTTACTTTTAGTTATTTTTCAGTTTTGTCGCGTTGAAAATCTCTATAAATGTAGTCTATAAAACATCTTTAGGCTAAAGCTATGTGTTTGTGTCTTTGTCAGTTAGCATTTGTGCACTTGACCAAATAAATAAAACCCGAATTTATATATAACACGAACTTTGAGTATCAATTATGTGTGATATTGCAAACAGATCTGTCACATCCAAGTGACATATAATGAATGAAATGTCTGGTAAACAACACAGTTTTTATATCCCACGTGACATCAATCTGGCAGAAGCCTCAAGTAAACGAAATTCATTCTGACTTGAAACCGAAGACGAATGCAGTCTTTACCAGCCTTTTGGGATTTGCTCCCAGAATATAATGAAAATGTCACTGTGTTCGCTTGAAATATGATATTAGACATTATTTGTCTCATAGATTAATTCAGTTAATCGAGCTTCATATGGTGCATGTAAACAACTGCAAGAAATAAATGATAATATCCACTTAAAATGAACTTATAGTAAACAATTCTCTGTGCGTCTCAGTTCTTCTGAACATGCATTATCTCAAAATGCCCGCTTGGTGGAAGCAGCCACGTGCAAATCATTGCCCTAGTGGGCATAATATACTTAAAACACCAACATCTGACAGCTATCTGTCTTCTGATCTCGTTTTTGGGCGTTAAATATCATTTGGTTTTTGCAGAATAACAACTGCAGATACGTTAGATCTCTGATATGAGAGTCAACCGCAGCTTGTTTTCCAAAGCTCTCTCTTTCTCTCTCTCTCTCTCTCTTTCTCTTTCTCTCTCTCTCTCTACGGGTAAATCAAGCGCATTTAACACGGATAAATGAATATAAATTGCTTATTGTGTTCAGGCGCTCAGTACGGTAGAATTACTTCAGATTTGTGAAGAAAAACATATACTTCGATATACGTGAACTGAAACATAAGTCGTATGTGTGGACGAGGGAAATACAACAACTGGTGAGTAATTGTTCAGATTGTACTTGCGGGGGTGTGTTATGTACGTCACCAGTTTAGAGGCGAAACACTGTTCTGATTGGACACACCCTCCCCCTCTCCATTTTGTGAGAAAACGCATATTAGCTTCAAGTTGCTGGTCATAAAAACTGTTTCTTTGTCTTTCGAAAACCGGATATCGAATATTCAATGTATTCTCATCGAGAAGTTTAATACAATAGAGGAAGTGATGATATGAATCAGTCAGGTAGTTCAACAACAGCGTGTGCATTGAATGATGATCATTCCTTTACTTAGGCTACTTATTTTTCTTTCTTTCTTAATTTATCTTGTATTGTCTTGTTTTATCTTATTGTATGATTGTAGCCTACGTCAAACAATTGTAAGTCAAAGCCACTTTTCTTTAGTCTGTTAACAAACTTAACTTTTCAAAAAAGCTTGCATGATTAAATATTGCAGTGGTATTTTAATTGAGCTAATTATTTATTTTAAAAGTGCTTTATTATGCGTTTAAATTGCATAATTAAAATAATTAAATTTGCTTGTGTGTTGCTATTAAATACTTGTTTTTGTTGGAAATCACTGTTCTTCCTAAAGGCTTCAAATATGTTGTACTCTTAACTTGTACACTATGTATTTATAAGAGAAAGAAACATTTTATTCAATTAAAATTTAGTGACTTATTTTATAGGACATTAGATCATACTTAAACTTGTATTAGATTTGAGAAACGTATTTTATTGTGAGGGGCTTGATTATATCAGATATACTAATTATGTACCATTGGAATTGTATGTAAAATAAAACGCTGCTTGTAATATAATGTAAATAAATTATATTTATTTATTTGCACGCAGCATTTAAATCAAACATTTCTATAAACCTGCATGTCTTTTTGTGGGTTTGATCAACAGGTTTTCTTTTTAAGAGACCTCTATTTTCAAAAAAAGACATCTAGTTTAGATGAGATAAGCTGGAAATATTTTTAGATATGTTTATGCATATTATAGAAATGAAAGAGAAGACAGTTTGTTCAAAAATGGCAATTATATATATGTGCAACTAAACGGTTTCAGGAGTTGGAAACAACACATTAAACATACTGCCGGGTCTTCATTGTGTTTTACTGCTTAGATTAATAAACTGGATTTGCAGGATTTTACAAACCCAGATTATGATGTGTTATTGCTAAAACAGCAGAGAGGGTCTCCCATCATTTGAGTGGCATCATGGGAAATCACAGGGAACTGCCAATCGTTCTCAACTTCCTCCAAGAGGGCATAAATGGCATCACTCTTAGCCAGTATTTAGTTTAATCCCAAACATCTGCTTTCAAACAGTGTACCCAATGCTGTTTAAGACAAATGTAACAGGTTGTTAATATATATATATATATATTGCATAAAACTATTTGCATGGTCTTTACATTGAAATTGTATTATTCCTTATTCCAAGAGAGGGATAACAAAAAATTATATTTTTGAAAACTTTAAATCAGATTTGAATCTGCTGTTTTGTTTTGTTTTGTTTGTTCTGGCAAAAGTATGCAGATAACTGCTCAAGCTAAGACTGAAATCAACGTGTTTTGATTACTTTTTGTAACATTTGTGTTCTCATATTTGTTCATGCATAAAATATAACAAAATGTCTCATATTTAAAAGGGATTCAATTCTCTTTTTAACGGTTTAATTTAAAGAATTGTTTAAAGTGCTACTTCCAATCCAATATCAAAAAATGATCAGACACTTTTTTTAAAAGTTAATTATTTAATTTACAATTGTTCTTAGTCAGATTTAATTAAGGATTAATGATCAAAATTATTTATTTTCAGATTCAGTTATTACTACATTTATTTATAATTGATAAAGTCTGAAAAGTTAATAAAGATTGTAAAGATCTATCAGTATTTCCTTCCATGATGAGAATTGTATATGCAAGCATGAATATACAAAAGAAGCAAGAAAACACATATGGAAACATTCAGGCAAACCAGAAATAATTAAGTCTTTACCTCTTGCACTCTTAGAGCTTCTTCTGAAAAATCCTTGAGGTGATCATGTGGGTTGCACAAATATGCATACTAATCTGCCTTTCTTGTGATAGAAAAAAAATGAAAATCTATTTTGGGTCATATAAAAAACTTTGTCTAATTTTGTTCTATAAAAATCATACAATAAAAAGTAATTTACACACAATATTGTTGTATTCCTAAACCTAGACTGCATTTCCACAATGACACAATGTCTTATTGTGGTTATTATTTTTTCTTATTTATGTAACATTTCTCACTTTTTTTATATGTAAAGAGGCTGATTAAAAATGCATCACCGATTACATAAAAAATGCTTAACTGTCTATGATTATTTTCAGCTTCTTTCCAAGTTTAAGCCTGACCTTGCCTCTAGTCTCTAGTATGCAAATGTTGCTTTCCAAATATTAACTGTTCGAAAATATTCTAAGAATTACAACAGAAACTTGCCTTACAATTACATACATAGGCATGGAAGCCAATGAGACAACACTGGACTATATGCATGGGGTCGGACCAAAACTAACTTAAGCTTTGTTTATCAGGTTTAATTGTGTTACTTTGTGTCTGAATTTTTTTTTTACGCCGTTCATTAGGCTATTTTCTCCAAAAAGTAACCTTAAGTTACTGAAATCAACTGAATAGCATGTAAACTGCAAATAAACACTTTCACACTATTCTTAGTGTCAGTCTTGCTTCTTTTCAGAACTTCCTTCCCACCACGCTTTGTTCCTCTGAGTAAGATCCAGAGCCTTATTGCTAAATGCAACATGACGCAAAAGAAAACAAACTCATATTTTACAGCATTTAAAACCACTGTTATCAATAAAATAATTATTTAGTGTAATAAACATTGCAACAGTTTTCACTTATGCACCATCAGACTCTTAAATTCCTTGTTGTCCTGGATGAGCTCCATGCCTGTGGTCCTCCTCACCCAGAACAGAGATGCCCTACCCCCACACCAGCCATTCCTCATCCCCCTCACAGTGTGTGGTCAGGTCACAATCTCAAATCTCAGAGTACCTCTTAAACTCACAGGGGGTTGTATTGACATGCCAATTCCTTCACAGGACCACAAAGTGCACCCCCTTGCAACAGTTACTGAGTGTAACAGGACTATGAAAAGAAATTCATAGATGATGACTTTCTGCAGTTTTGCATGATTATTGTTGCCATTATAGGCTACATTTGACCCAATAACTTTAAAGCTAACTGTACAACCACTCACAAAAAAAAAAAAAAAACAGTTTAGACAACGGCCATCAGATCACTGACTCCTTTAGTTCTTAGCAGATCTACCCTGCATGTCAGCTGGTGTTGCAGCAGAGACATCAAGCTATGATGTGCAAATGAATGCTCAATCTGTTAAAATTTATATACGTCTAATAGAGTGAATTACCTACGAATGGCCTGGAGACACGACAAAGAGCATATACGTTTATGAATGGTGGTGAATGAACATAAAAATCAGGAGAGTAATCATCAAATCAGTCTTTATTTACATTGTAGTAAACGTTGCGCGAGAGAACCTCGAGATGCATAGGCCTAAGTGCATCAGGGAATGCTTCATATTTACCCAGACATTAAAAAGACGGTGATTAATCACTACAGACGTGTTACACAACTCAGATATGCACACAACATCTTTAGTCGACTCATCCTTGAATTAGACATCCTTGCGAAGTTGTGCTTCGAGCCCGTCATGTGTGATTTAAACATGCGCGAAGCTCAAGGAACTAATTGAATGGGTTTCGTGAGGATCTGCGCGCTTGTTTCAGTTAGAACGTTGGTCTAAATACATTTCATTGAGCAGCAGTTCTGGACCATCGTAGTGTTCTTGCGAGACGTGCCTCGCTTCTCACTCTTGCTGTAATGGACGGGGAGCCATTTTCTCACAGGGAGTCGGTACTGCCGCCACGTGTACAATTTGAGAGCCACGTAACCAAAGTAACCGCTTGAAATTCCCATTTGATTTGAGTTTAACTCATTTGAATGGGGATTTGTGGTCAGATTTTTCATACATGAGTATAAAGCTGAAAAATCCTCGCAATGAAACATCATACACCGCGTGTACACACAATAGGCAATGCAACAGTTGCTCACTTCCTGTTGGTAGGCGGGATCCCAGGGCCTAGCGTCTTCTCATGACTCGGTTTGACGCGACATGGAGGTGAGCACGAGAACGTTCGAGATCTCTGTGGAAATGTGTCCCTCAAGCTTCGGAGAACTCGTTGCTGGAGCTGACCTGTTACAGTAAAACTGGATTCTGCGTTACCCGCACGGCCAAGCTCCCAAGAGCCGAATTAAAAAGGATACAGTGTTTCAATAAAACCATGCATCGAATGTGTCTTACTGCTTAGTATTTACTCCACCTCAAAAATGTTTGCCATAAACTTTGGTTGTAAAACTACTCTAATTAAATATTTTACTTCGCCCTGGTCGTGACCCACAGCTAACAATGTCGTGTAGAGGCTACATAAAGGCCATTAGTTGTAGTATTCGAAATACGTGTTTCATGATCAACTTTAGCCACTCGCGTAAGGCTACAGACTAGCAAGCGACTATGAAAAGGGCAAGGATAAGAAAAGCAGCCGAGCGACATCACAGAGGGCTTTTATTTACACGTAGACTCTTTTACAATTTATAATGACACCAAATGTCCTTTTTGTCCTGTAAATTGTCTTGTTGAAATCCGAAATGTTTTTGTGCATGAAGAAACAAAACGTTAAAAGAAAAACGGCAAACGTGACGTTGAGCACAAAAGTAAAACTGGACCATGTGTGGGCTAGTATGAATCTGTATGTCTGTGTGCATGCAGAGCATATACGGTGCAATGTACAGAAAATGTTCCTGTCTTTCCAAGCACAGCTTGAGAGAGAGAGCGGAGGACCGGCCCCTTCTCTAGCTACTCTGAGACCACGTGGTTTCTTCTTTGCAAACAAAAAAAATGAGTAAATTCGACTCGGTTTTAGAGGCGGTGCCATCGCCGAGCGGTGGGATCTGTGTGACAGTGCAGGGTACAGCTTTAGGTTGAGGGGCAGCGAGAGGAAAGAATTTCTCCCGATCCCGCTAAATACTTGCCACTATTCCATCGTAACAAACATCAGCTTAATTCAAACTGATATCATTTCTACACCGTGCTGGGAATTCGCGAAGGTTGCTACAGTGAAGAATATTTACCACTCGCCTGCAGGACTTAATCAGACTACAACGTTACTGTTAGTCGAACTTTCCCCTTTTTATTTTGGATTGTCTTGCAGTTTGATTTTTTCCCCCTCGTTTTTAATTCCAACCGGCTGACATCTACATGATTTTGTAATCTGCGCGTGTCTTAGTCCTTTTTCAAAATTAATAGCGTTCTGCCGAAAAGTTTTATTTTCATTTCTATTTTTTGGGGGGGAGCGTTAGTTTTTCCACGATGAACAAGCTATATATTGGAAATCTCGATGAAAACGTGACCGCAGAGGACTTGGTTAAAACCTTTGAAGATAACAAGATCCCATACTCTGGACAGTTTCTCATGAAAACTGGCTATGCGTTTGTTGATTGCCCGGACGACCAATGGGCAATGAAAGCGATTGAAACATTTTCTGGTGAGTAAAATGATTTTAATGGGCCTTTCGTTGCCGGTTTGCTTCTTCGCCGGTTTTCTTTCGAAACTTACCCTGGTTAAGCTCCCATAAGTGTTTTGGTTGTTTATAATTCAATTCCACTGTTTTACTAAAGATCTCGGGTTTTTATTGTGAAAGAGAATCAGTTTCTACTTTTTGCCATTGAAGTCAGGGTACGACAAAATGTAAGACACTATAATGCAAAAGTGCCTGAGACACTGAACTTTTAAGAGCAGAGGGTTTGCAGACACTAAAAGCATTCATACACACATCAACCACGACTTTACTTTCTTTGCTCTGACAGGTTTAAAACGTGCAGTGTATTCTACTGTAACAAATAGCTATATATTTAGCGTGATTCTGATTGTGAACTGTAGGACGGAGTTCTCCTAATCTCAATCTTTAGGTTTAGTCCAACCTACCCGGCACAGCTATAGAATCAGGTCCCACCCCTCCCCCTTTTGGCTAATAGGCCAGTGGAGCTAAAATGAAACGTGTTTCGTGAAGCCCCTATTGAGTTAACAGGCACACTACTGAGGGAAACCTTCTTGCCTTTAATATATCCGACCATGTAGCATTCTTACATGCAGACTTAAACAATGCCATTTCACTGCATCTGTCCCACTGACCACAAAGTCTCTTCTCGGTTCTCCACATAGGCTATGTAGCATGTGGCGTGTGCTCTATATAGCACGAAGGTCGCCGTGCCGATAAGGATCCAGTTAAAACTATCCACCACATGAAGTCATGCACGGTCAAGATGTCATCTTAAGCTGTTCTTTTTATCGCTATATGCCTCTTAGATCTCAAGTAGACACGAACAACAAATAATACCCTACACATATGGATTCTGTCAAACAGTTGACGCCAATAGCTTGTGTAGCCCTGACCAGTGAACCTTGAAAGCGTCCTAAGAATTTTGTCATTTGACCTGTGCCAACTAATTTTTTTTATTTCTATTTATTTATTTTTTTTAGTTGAATTACTTTTTATTAACACCTACCCTAGCGACCACAACACCTCAAAAGCTCGTTTAGGCCATTCGCAATGCAAGTTATACAGTAAAAATAAAATTTCTTCACACAGGGAGGTATAACGAAACATACATAGAAATCTTTGAGGCACACATTTATTATGTTTTAGTTTTTAAAGTTGACTTAGATTATTAGGGCCATTTAAGTAAGATGGTGGTCTCTTTTGTGAGTGGGATTTTTTTTTTAAAAAGGAAAAAATAATAATTTCTTTCCTTTTTCCAGGTAAAGTGGAACTTCACGGCAAACGAATTGAGGTCGAACATTCTGTCCCTAAGAAGCAGAGGTATTTGCTTTCTCTTGAATCGTTCAACAATTGTTAGCTTACTGTATATAAAAGCTGAATGTATAGCCTATATGTCATGGCGGTGGTACAAATATGTGTACAATGTAACCAGTACTTCGCTGTGTGCTTAAATTGTGGATCTGTTTGGTTGTAACACTCAAGTTGTTGTTACTTTTTAAGAGTCTAGCTCTCTGTATAGGAATATTCTTTGTTTCTCTTCACGTGACGGATCTTATAGTGCTTGGATATTCAAGTGGCATATGCTCGTAGCATTACACCACGTGCTGTTACATTCATAGTTACTACTGCGCTGTATAGCACTCATCTCCTACGTTAGGCATATGCGTGCGTTTTTGTCAAACATATAACAATGCTGGTCTACGTGTCATTTCAATCACTTGTTCCCTGTTGATTAGGCCTGGGCCTACTGCAAGGCCTAGGCCTCGGTGCTTGATTCGTTTAAACAATTCATGCAACACAGATTTTGTTTTCTAGCCCGCTATGGTTTTAAAAGCTGCTATTACTTTGGAACACCATCGTTGTTCGTACTTTTGTTACGGATATTTAAAGGGTAGACTTTGTAGGGAACGCCACTTCAGGTCAGCGCAGGAGAAACAAAGCGTAGCCTATATTTATGGCTATGTTCCACTGTACAGTTTGAAAGATTTGTTGTCTAAATTATCATTTCCCCGTATTTTTGCCGTTAGTTATGAGTAAATGTGAATATCAGAGTAACTTTTGCTGTATAAAATTAAAATGATCTTCAGAAATATATTTATTTGTGTTCTGGGGAGTTTGCATGGCGCGCAGAAGACTGTTTATGTGGAACAAAAAGTCTCCCCATTCGTCCCCACCCAACTCAACGCTGCTTCTTACGTCTTTACACCCTAAATGCATTTTTTCCCCCGCAACCATTCGAGCTACACCGGTTAACCTGGCGTATAACTCAATGGTATTGTGTTTTAAAACGTTGCATCCTGTGGAGAATCTTTATAGTGAAACGATATGTGGTAAAGAATATAAATAAATAATTTGCAGTTAATATGTGAGATTCAGCTTCTCATATATGTTTGGATAATTCTGTGGTAGATACGTTGTTTTGATGAACCGCTTTCTAACCAGTTGAACCAGCTCTTTATTCGTGTTCCCCTGCTTTACGCGCTTTAGACATAAATCTGTTGACAGGGATGTTGTGAGAAAACGTATGCTTTGCATATTTGATATTACACTCTACCTACGATATACCTGTTTTTGGATTTTTGCATATTTGTTATGGATAAGCATTACGCGTCTCCAAATGTATATACTGATAACGCGGACTTTTCATAAAATTATTCTTAATTATTTTGTAACAGATACACGTTTTAAATAGATCTAAATGGCATACGTTGTGATTAGTGTTGGGAGGCCAACGTTACACTGGTAGTATGACACGTGGTCGCCATCAGTGTGAAGAGTATCTAACGTCAGCAATTGAGAAAATGGCGTACAATGTAGCCCTCTGTAGAAGGCTCCATTTGAAAGCACCGGAGCATTAACGTGAATGGTTGCAGATACATATTTACAAATTCATTTGATAGCGCCATGTAAACAGTTTACTGATCCGCGAACTAATCCTCAATATAATTGCTAGGTGAGGTATTTTAGCTAAAAATACCTTTTGCTCTTAAACTCGCATATTTAGCCATTTACGTTTATAACTTAAGGGACTTTTTTTTCTCCCTGTGTGCGTATGATAATTTTAGAATTCATATAGGCTAGTCTGCTCTGGTGAGACGCTGTGTGGTTCTTTTGATTTGAAAATTCCAAGTAACCAGAACGCACGTGCGCACACACAAAACACAACCAGAGTTGTGGAAAATGCATTAGAAATGTTAATTAGAGTGGAACTGTTACTCTGTCGCCATTTTGATAAACGTCTTTGTGGGGCTGGCCTCTGAGATGCCGGACTTTAAAAAGCAGCATACACCCCCAGGTCAGCATATATGTTGATTTGACCCTTTGTTGTGTTGTATGCTTATGTGCTGCTTGAATTGTTACTCTGAGCAACTCAAATATATATATATAT